GCATTATGAAATTCAATAGACATCCTTTCTTGATTATTAATGTTCAATTCTACCTCATCTTGCTCCTCTTCATCACCTTCTTCAGCATTTGGATTTTCTATATCTTCTTCTGTAAGTTCCTCTTTTCCTTTTTCTAATCTCTTTAAGAAGGAATCAACATTTTTATATATCCCTTTTTTGTAATATTGCTCACAATGATTGCAACCATTTTTTAAGATACTATAACAGTTTAGATGATACCCATGCCCACACACCAAAACTTTTCCATTACCTTCATCCAATGTTTTTTTACAATGATCACATATACCATTTTGGGGGGGGAGATCCTGTGCTAAAACCAACAGGAAGACACATTAAATCTACTTCTAGTTCAAGAGATGCAAGTTTATATTGATTAATTTTTGATTTTCGTTTTCTCTTTTCTCCTATTTTGACAGAACCACCAAGAAGACCAAGGTTTTTATATATCTGTTGAAAATAGTTTAATAAAAACAAACTAGTTTTTTCAGATAAATATTCTAAGTCACTCATAGTGTAAGGATATCTTTTGGACTTTTGGAATGCTTCCTTAAAGGAATCTAAATCATGAGCATCTGTATATTTACAAAAGAAATCAAAGGAATATCTTCAGATTATTGAGGCACTTCAAATCGGTATATTGTAAAATAATTATTGGGTAATTTAAATAGAAGTGGTTTCAAAAAAAAAAAAAACAGTTTAATGGGGTCTACAGATTAAAAGGCAAAAGGCTACAGTTTAACAGGGGTAAATTTACATATATCTACATATAATTTGATTTTAATGGGGAAAAAAATATTACTTGCCAATAACATAAGCATGTTTGATTATATTATCTACAGTTGAAGTTGGTGATATGTGTGCACGAAGATGGCTATGCATGTTCTCAACATGGTAATCATTGAAGTACACTAGGTGGTTTTTTATGGCTTCTGCAAATGGATGTTTTTTATCTTTCCAGTAGAAGAAATCGGATAAAAAAACAAGAGGAGCTTTGTTGTAATTTTTTCTTTTCCAGCGCAATGCAAATGTCCATATTCTAAATATTGTCTCTAAATATTCTTCAAATGATCCTGACCGGAAAAGGATAGCATAAACATCAAGTACTGCTGGAATAACATTGTCAAGAAGATCTATAGCCATGCAATATTCAATATCTTTGCAAATTGGGCCAAATTTTTTCATTACTGGGGTTTTGATTTTCATCCATCCATTATGTGCCAATTCAAGTAAGATGTTTATACGCCATGGTTTTGGCTTCTTTGCTAAAATCTTCCTCCTTCCAAAGACAAAATGAAAAAGTTTTTCGAAAAAAAAATAATAGGTCTTGATTACTTGTTCACGACTATTCAGAGACACATGCAGAGGACCTAGAATTGGCAAAAAACAATTAATTTCTTTTGGAACAGATTGACTGAGTAATGGATCATTTGAATGCAAATATGTCAATGCTTTTCTTATAAAGAGTTGCCCAGGCCAATCAGCAACTACTGGTGCTACAACATGTTGCAAATGACCAACATCTTTATTAATTGAAGTAATCATCTTTAATCCTTCCAAATAGTCCTGCATTGAATGCAATTGTCTTTCTTCTATTCCAATGAGCTGGACACCATTCATTGATCTTTCTTCCTTTCTCTCTTTTATGGCATCATCATAACTATGAATAGTTAGACGTTCTATTTCATCAAAATTCATCAATATAGATTTTTGTGTCCACATATCCTTTCTTTGATTATATGGAATATCAAAAATACCATGATAGTCCCGAGTTAAATATAAACACAAGTTATTTGCATCTATATTAACAGGATTATGAATGGATATTCCATTGAATTCAATTGGAATTGGTGGACAATTAGTAACTTGCTTAGAAACACACGTTGCCATGTGCTTGGCTGTGGAAGTTGATGTTGTATCTGGTCTTCTTTTTTCTTTTATTGAATGAAAATCATCCAG